TGTTCACACCGCCATGAAAGGATCAGATGCAGGTCGGATTTGGGTCACTTCCGGCTGCAGTGTGAACGAAGCCGAAGGGCAATCTGGATTTCACCGACTCACTTCACTCAGATAACTGAGTTCTTTATTAAAACTCTGTGACGTGCTTTAGTAAAGATATCTGAAAACCTCTCTATAATTCCCGTTTCGGCCCTTCGTTTCCCACCTCTGTGCACAGTTCTGATCAGTGTGGGCACGGCCACGAGCCTCCGGGGGGTGTCCCATGGCGTCTGGCACTGTGATGCAATGGAGGTTTTTCCTATTGCTTGTGAGTTGAATCTATGAGGCCTCATGTGTATGCTTTGTAAGATATATGATCACATTTAGATCTTGGGGTTTTGGACGTAAAATGAACTAATGTCTAATGTCTTTCGCTGAGCAGGCTTTGCTGGATAGCATTGTCCACTCTCCTTTCAGAGGAGCTGACCATGTGGTGTGAACACTATCACTGTATGGCGGTTTCCTTGTTTCTTTTGGTGCTGGGTCTCTGTTAATTGCTTCTAAGTCATATGCAATCTGTAATTTCAGCTGCTGCTCCAGTGAGTTTAAACACTCTTAAAAGCTCAACTGAAACTGAAGCAGATCTGCCCCTCTGTTTCATCCCCTCTACCCCCACTTGGACTTCCTGTGGTATGATCAGATGCTGAGAGGGTCACACCCACCCCACCCTTATTTATTCCTGGAACTCCACTGTGGGACCCCTTCTCTTGGGGGAAGGCACACACGCACGCAGACATCGTGTCGGCACTCATTTACGCACACAATTCACACACACACAAACACGCGCACACACTCATTCTCACTCTCACTACTCGTTAGCGTCACGGCAGTGGGCTCCCTCCCTGTCCTGCCCTGTCCGGGAGCAGATGTGGATCAGGAGAAATTTGCCTAAAATTCTGCTTGTTTGTACAGTTCTTGACTGGCACCGGGGGAGAGATCTTTGCTTCTTTTAAATAATCTAATGATGTCTTTGTGGACTAGGTATCTATCCACCGGCAACTTTGCTCAATATGAAAAGTTAATCGGACTAAATATTGACTCACCCTTCCAAAAAAGTGGAAAACAGGTGTTTCAGGCACTTCCATGGCCACAGGTGTATACAATCAAGCACCTCGGCATGTGGTCTACGAGTGCTGAGTGGATTCCAGCACGGTGCAGTCACAGGAAGCTAAAACAAGTCTGGACGTGGGATTTCCCAGCTCCTAAATATTCCAAACCTAACTGTATTACGACAAATGGGAAGCGATCTGGAAGGACTGCAGCGTGGCCACAGAGTGCTGGGCCCTGTGCGTGGACTGGGCGAGGGGGGGGGGGTTGATTCTGGGGCTCAGTGTGCAGAGGTCGCTGCAGACCTCAGGAGTGTGGCATTCCGGTTAGCCCCTTAACGGCTCCCCGGCCATACATCACAGAGCAATGCAAAGCCCTGGATGCAGTGGTGGAATCCTGCTGCCTCTGGACTCTTGAGCAGTGGTTGGACCTCCTCTGGAGGGACTAATGCTTATTCCTTTCCTCTATGTGCACTCAGATCAAGAATTTAAAACAATCTGGCGATCTGATGGAGAATGGTAGTGGCATGACTGTATCGTGCCCAGTGTAAGGTTTGGTGGGGGAGGGATTATGGTATGGGATTTTCAGGGGCTGGCCTAAGGCTGCTATAGCTGCAAAGGATGGACCAACATACTGAACCTTAAGTTAATATGCCAGTTGAAGCAGGCGGGCGAATGCTTTTTGCAAATTAATGCATGTGAGTGGATCTTCTGTTAGATTTAAACGAGCCAGTTGTTTGTACTCTATCATACCCAGTATTTTATGGACTATTGTTATCCCCTGGCCTTTCTTGTACCTTAGAAGGTCAAAGTTTGATTAAATATCAGACAGTCTAGGTTTGAAAGATCCCTATTTTCTGAGTGATTTTAATGTAAAGCTGTTTCAGAAATGTGCTGAAACCATAAGGTTTCCATGACATTCCAGAAACGGACTCTATGTGGGAATGTAATCATTCAGTGGACTGGACCTTCTGTTAACCGTGGACCCTGCCATCCAGTCTTAAACACTAAGATTCTGCAATGAGCTGTGGGTGGAACATAATTTCCTTAATAATGAACTTTTTTCAGTGCTTTATATTATTCATTTGAGTAAATGTTCTCAGCACATGCAATATCTCTTTAATGATCATAGATGTAGGGACTCGTCTGCCTTCCTTAATGTGTTGTAAACAAAAATCTGGGCAAATATTTCTATGAATGATTTGGGCTGAAAAATGACACTCATACTGGATGTCACAAAGGTAATCATAACTACATGGATACTAACTAGACATTAGGTCAAAATGGTCATCCTAAATGGGGTCAACTGTAAGGGCAAACCCAGTCTGGACCGATATGAAATGTATGGATCAATTTTTTGTTCAGACCCAATCTATGAGAATAAATTAGGCTGAACAACCAACAGTGGGTTGTGTGTTTGAGTTCTGAGACACAACAAAAATTAATGAAAGGAAGTGTAAAGCAAGTGTGAGGCTTCTACATGTTCACAACACACCACATTAAAAGGATCTCATGTTTCCATAACCAGACTTTTAAAGCTAGCACAACTCCTGGGTGTGGGTTAATGTTATAACGACGAGAAGACGAACTTTAGCTAACAGAAATAAAAGCCCCTCTTACTTTCCCCACACCGGTCTGCTTCTGCTTCACAGTTCTATCCTGGAGGACTTTGCATAGTAATTGATTGATTTCACTGATTAGCATAGAAGAAGTTGTAGAGGCCCATCACAGGAGACAAAAGATGGTAATGAGAGGCATTTCCCTGTTAATTTGGCACAAATGTTCAAAGAGAGGGCTGCAAATAGTTTGAAAAAGGTAGAAAACAAGTTATTAGGGTTTAACATTTCATCCAAAAGTTAGATGTTTCACTTAAAATGTGAAAAAGTGCAGATCATTTTAATTCTGTTTTCTTTCCTACCACTACATATGAATAATTTAGTAAACTACTTTAAGCTGCAGAACTTACAGGGCGTTCCTGCCTAGCTTCTGTTGGTGTTAGACTGTGCTCCACCTTCCAGGAAAGGGTTTTTCTGTTTCCTGTTCAGTACTGATGCAAGTTTTACAGGCCTCTTACATAACATTTCAGTGGATTTTCAGACCAATCAGTATTGACAGGCCATGAAAATGACACTTTGGCTAGAATAACTTCAGAGAAATTGAAATTCTCGTCTGTATTTGTGCCGCTGGTTGGGGGGGGAAGGAGAGGCATTCATCTGAGTTTACCTTTGTTTAGAAGCACAGAGGGGGCTCTGTCCCCTCACAATGGGAATGTGGAGCCCAGTGTCTGTCCTCGGCATGAGTGCAGGAAGGGTGATGCTTGCAGCCACACCCAGAGTGATTAGCCAGAGCCCCACCTCGCCGCGGAATGCTCTGGAGCCGGGTCACATGCGGCAGCACCCTCCCACAGCCGCGCTGGGCACGCTCTCCACGCCAACCAACCAGCACAGGGACACAATCAGTGCAAAAGTGCAAACACCAAGCTGTGATGTCATTGCTCGGGCAATTTTATGTAAACAAACAAAAAAAAGCGTTGCTTTATGATGATAGAATGTTATTGGTCAGTACAGCAATCGCCATGATCACATGACAATGACAGAAATCTTTTTTTTTTTTACTGTCATCAGATATCTATTTAGTCAAACTTTGCTTTTCAAATAATTTTGTTCTGTACAGTGGATATTTATATATAGAAAGTTTATCATTGTTATTATTATTCAGAATATGAACACTCATATGCCTCTTCAGTGGCATTTTGCTGTCATCTTCTTGACCAAATTGGAGTTGGATGCGAACTTATTTGGACAGTAGGTGGATTATAAATGATCTAATTGAGAAAAACCTGCATATTTGAGTCTTAATACTTGTCCAGTCATGGAAATATTTTCAAAAATGCCAATTTCATTGGGGGAAATTCACTTTTTTCAGTACAAAACTATTCCTAAAACCATTCAGATGTTTGAGTTGGTTGTGAGGTTGAGTTCTACTTTTGGTTCTTCTGTGAGATTGTCTATACATTCATGGATTTTTTTTCTTGTGGAGACTCAAAAGGTTTCCTTATAGACTGTTTAGCTGAGAGGGGAAGGGGCAATGGATAGAAAATAGCAACTGAGGAGATGTGGTTCATGCTATACTGGAAGCTATGTGTGTGTGTTTGTGTGTGTGTGTGTCGAGTCCCTCTTCTCGGGCTCGGCACTCCCCACTTGGTTGGTGTGTGTGTGTGTGTGTGTGTGTCTCTCGCTCGGCTTCCAGAAAAGGGTGTGTCCGCCTGCGTGCCACTGAAGGGAGGGAGGGGTCAGCTCACGGCTACTCCTCCCTTCTCTCTCTCTGTTATTTCTCTTTCGTTCTCATTCCCTCACGGGCAGCCTCAGGATTAGGCCTTTGTTTCACAGCCTTCTCTGCCTCTCCGCTTGCTTTTAATTGATTTCTTTTGCCTTTGGTATTTGAAAGTGAGTTGTTTCTGGGTGTTTTTACCCCCTCTTCTGGTAGATTACAGAGTGGCTCCTCAGAGGAGAGGTAATGGTTGGTTTTTTTTTTTTTTCTCCAAAGCTTAGTTTTCCATTCATTTACCCTCTTCCCGTCTAACATTTGATCCTCTTCCTCTTCCCTTCTTCCTTTTTTTCCAACAACCCCACCAAATCTTCATCCCACCATTTAACAAATCTCCTTTCAGCCTCACCCCCTGGCCTGGAACTTTTGGCCTTTTGTTTTTTTACCTTCTCCTTACCTCTCCCTCCTCCACTGTTTTCAACTTGTCTTCCTTCCCCACCCCCCCACCCCTTTTTTTTGCTCTCCTCAACTACCTCCTGATCACCTTCTCTGTTCCCTAACCCCCGTTCTAAACCACACCATCTACTGTTCTCTGATATGTTCTCCTTTTTCTAATCGGCCTTTTGTTTTTTTTCTCTCCCCCCCCAGTGCCAGTCAACACCAAAGCAGAAGAAAAGTGCTATCAGTGCCCGGAAGAAGCAGAGGACCCCGGCCAAGCCCAGCGCCCCCCCCGCCCAGCAGCCATCATCGCCCCCAGCTACGCCTCCGCCCGCTGTCCAGGGAGAGGAGGAGCAGATAGAGGAGCGCTCCAGCGGGCCCCGGCCCCCGCAGCAGCAGGAGGAGATACCGGGGGAGGAAGAGCGGAGGGAGGGGCCCCCGCCGTCTGTGGGCGTGAAGGAGGAAGAGAGGCCCGAAGAGAGGGAGGCGGAAGGAAAGAGAGACATGCCCTCCGTACAGATCAAACCGGAGCCAGAGGAGATGGAGTGCACGGTGAGGAGGGAGAGGCCCGGGGGGGGGCGGGTCGAGAGGGGGTGATGCCCATATGGGCTGATGGGGGGGAAGGGGGGGGGGTGAAGGCAGGTATGGCATGCCAGACGTGTTACAACACACTGAGTTCACACTCAACACACACACACATCACAACAGACACTGGGGGGGAGCCTGGGTTAGAATTTGCCGCTCATCTTATTGGGATGTTTAAAATCTGCGTTTTGTTCAATTTTGACTCTAACAAGCAAAGTTTTTGCTTTGGGAATGAATCAAAGTAGTTTTTTGTGTTGGTGGAAGCAGATATTGGCATCTTTCAGGTCTCTAAACAGCCAATCACAAGTCCTGTTTGGCACAGAAAAAAAATATGGCAGTTGAGCAACTTTTAAATACATTTTTATGCTATATAGGGTTAAATGAAAGCTGATACCCAATCAGCCTTCACGTTGTTGTCGTATTAAGTCAACTTTTGTACAAAAAGAGGTGTTAAACACACTACTGATGTTACTGCTACTTTTCCTGCCAGGACAACAGAATTTATCAGACAGAAATAATGCTGATGTCACAGATCATGAAGTTCTGGTACAGAATCACTTCACATCGTTGGCCAATTGGACCGTTTAATATAGTAAATAAGATTTGAATGAGCAAACTTTGCGGGTCTGGAAACCGCTAAGTGAGTGGTTTGATACTTTTTTTTCAAACTACTTAGTTTATCAGAAAAAATATCTTGTACATTTCAGCTCCTGCATCATACAGCTAGATCTAATTGAAATCTCTTTACTATTTTTGTAAGGCAGAAATAGAATCTAACTATTTGACTAGGATCATTAGCTGATTTTCTGATTCTACAGGAAAATAAATCCCAGGGTCACTTAACACAAATGGAATTGAAATGATTAATTCAATGGAGATATTTTTGGCAAACCTGCTCACAGGTCAAAACAATCAGCATCAGTTTTCTTCCCCTAAATTGTTTTTATTTAGGGCATTATTTTTAATTGAATAACATTAATAATAAAGCTTTTTTTTGTATTTAAATGGAACAAGCTGCTGCAGAAGGCTGGAACTGGAGGCTTATTTCTGATCAGTAAAGATAGGTAGTGCATTAAACCGATAGAAGGGGACAGACTAGGTGAGAGTTAGGTTCTGGGTTTTAGATTTGTGTGGCGGTTTGGGATGAAGGCTGAGGTGAAGATGAGCAGATGGAGTCGAGGCCGGAGTTGGAATGGCAGAACTGAGTAGTGGGAGGAGGAGTTGATTTGTTGGGCTCCTCATGAGGAGGAAGAGGAGGATCGATCCTGCTGGATGAATGAAACTCAGATGGTTTTGTTCTGTTCTGATGTTGAGTTATTTCATCTTGTTCATTTAAGGAGTGGCTACAGGAGTGTGTGCTAATCCTTCCAATTTTTCTGTTTTTTCGACATCATCCTCTTCACACAGTCAATAGATGGATTCATTCTTTTGTTGCCTGAAATAATTTTTTTTTTAAATTGTATCTATTTATAAATGCAAATGGAGAAATTCTCAGATTAAAAATGCTGAAAAGATAGTAATACATTTTTAAGTCAGTAAAACAAACATCAAAATACACTGGCAACTTTAGGACAGATGTAGCAGAAATGACAGTTATTTCTGCACCATCAATCTTTGAAAAAAACAAAAAAAACAAGCAATATCTAAACTGTTAATGAGACACAAAGCTGTCCTATGAAAAAAGAAGACAAACAGTTGGTTGGATGAGAAGATGGTGGGAGTAATATCAGCTTCTTTAAAAGCAACATGTTCAACTTCTGTATTGACAAAAGCTAACTGAACTTTTTGTTTTCCTTATCTACTGGCCTTTTAGGAGTCTGTCAATAGATTTATGAAACACCCATGAAACAAGTAGAAAAGAAAATAAAGCACGTCAGAAATATTTCATCTTGTTTTTCAGGATTTACCTTTTTAACTTTAGGTTTGAATGCTCTTTTATAGAGGGAATTAAAAAATCCTTTGGAAATGGGGCTTTCTTCTTTTCCCTTTTGACCGTCTGCACTCAGCCTCCTGACCAGTGTTGTTTCTGTTGCCTTTTCCTCAAACCATGCTGGGTATTCATAAACATTTTCACATGGAGAGTTTTTCATTATTGCTAACAAAATATTCACATGTTTATGGCATCAGGCATTTGGTTGAATTTAGATATAGGAATAGATGTTTGATATTTTTCTGCTTTGCTCTATGATTCACCGCTGCCAGTTTAAGTTTTAAATCAGTTCTTTTTCCTGCTCAGTAGCATTTTTGGACAGATATGGATTTTGGATAATTTATCTCAGTTGTCATATTTCTCATTTCAAGTGTCACAATATCTGGAGAACCCAGACGTCTTTGATTTTGGTCAGTGCATATTACAATTACGAATTCAACATTTTTACTGATGAAAATTTTGGTTTAACTTTAATTTTTTGTTAGTTATTATTATTATGCTTTAATTCCTTAAAGAAGGGAAATCATTGACTAAAAAAGAACAAAGAATGAATTACTTTTCTTTTTTTTTAAATGGTCATTATTGATTTCGTGTAAAATCCATTATAACACTTCATTCCTGGAGGGGAAGCCTGTTTTATTCAGACATAGGAAGATGTACAGTGAAGGGATGCTAGCAATATGGAGAAGTTTAGGTGTTTCAGATTAAAACCCTTACCTCATCTTACAAGCACAAAGTAAATGTTTACTGAGAAGATGTAGTTGGAAAGATCGGTGAGATTTGCCGGAGGAAGTAGAGAAAATAAAGAGTGGACAGATGTTAAAAGAGTCCAGGTAGAGGGAGGAGAAGCTTGTGATGGTGGACGTAGAGTGTGTGAAGCGCTGCTTCTGGACAACTTCCTGCACTTTACATGCACAGACACACAAATGCTTATGTGTGTAAATGTATTCATGTTTTCTGCCGGTCAAACTGAGATTTCTGTTTGTCCAGATATTCTTACCCAGTTATCTGGAGATAGAATGATTATTTTCCCTTTGATTGAAATGACCCTGCACAGAGAAAGATCTGAGACACGATATTCCTCAAGCCCTCTTCTTCTTAGTCGCCAATAAGTGGAAATGCAGATGTGAGCGTGAGGGATAGGCACGGCCGGCTCCTGAACGGTATGTTTGGGAGAGACACTGGAGATAGATTTAGGAAGGAAATGTCATGCAGGGCGGCCTGTTTCTCATTCTCAGTTGATAACTTCAACTTTTAGTTCTGTTCTCATAAATATGATGTAAAGACATGTTCAGTCGTTATTGTTTGAATTTTAAGAGTGACATATAAGACATATTAAGTGAGTTAGAGGGGGAAAAAATCAATCAGTTTTGTGCTAATTTGGATTTAAAAACTGAGTTAGATTTAGGCTGAGCTGATTAGCATTGTCCAAGTATCAACATTGTTTTTGGCTGCGTGGATGAGAAACTAAATGCCAGAAAAACTCTCTGTTCCCTACCAAGGGAGGGGGGCGGGGGGGTAAAAAGTATTACCTGAAACGGGTCCACATGCTGACAGAAAACATCTACAGCTGATCATTGAGGTCACCGGTTTAGATGATGCAGCAACTCAGAGCATCAGTACAACACAAAGCTGGGACTGTTTTTATGTCAAACTCAAAATGGTGATAAAAAATGTCCAAATGTTAAATCTTATTTAGACTGTGAGAAAACAATGGAATAGTACACACACACACACATGCACACACATATATATGTATACACAAGTGTATATAGTTTTAAAAACTTTGAACTTTTGGTCTGAATATAAAGTACCATTGAATACATACAGTAAGTCATATACTTACCCTAAAAGAAAACGGCTAAATGAAAGAAATGGAAATAGAAAAAAATCTTGCAAATTTGTTATGGTGAGTGAACATTCCATTAATTTTCCGGCAGAATTTCAAATTCCGAGCAGCTTTAACAGACAGCTCTACTACTATCTAAGCCTAACGCATAGTTGTGCAGGTTTTGCTCTTCTGGTTAAGTCAGCTTCCAACCACCTTTCAAAGATGAATCTCATAAAGGATTCTAGAAATGGATTTTCTAAGCTAGTTATGAATCAGCTCCATTCACCAGAGAAACCCCTCAGAATGTCCAGATGTTAACTTCTATCACAACACAAACTTAGTCTGGTTTTGTTCTCTAGTTTTATAAACAAAATAAAAAAAATCAAGGGCTTGTCCAATGGGATTCTAAGATATTGACAATAGTGCATTCTGGGGTGTTGAACTAATTTGTAATGTTATATTAATCCGTCTACCAATTCACACCAAAAATTGCAGTGTGATCCTCTGTGCAATTTACCAAAGTTCAACACTTTAACCTGTTTGCCAACACCAAGTTATCTGACTTATCTTATCTTACCATCATTGAAAGTAATCTTGTATAAACTAGGATTGGTAATGATCAATGAGTAATCGATATAAAGCCTGTGTACACATGAATATATTCCTATAGAAGCTTCGGCTGGTCACATATTGTGTGACCCTGTTGCAGGTGAAGGAACACACCTGGCTAACACCATGAGGCCGTGCACTGTGAGGGGAAAAGAGGGACGTTAGAAATAAGGACGATTTGATTGAAAAACTTGTGAGAATTGTGTTGACACGAGGCAGCCAGTGCCAGGGGGTGGGGGAGGGTCCGGCCCAGTGTGTTTGTGTGTGTTGTGCCACGGTATGGTTTGGGTTAGTGATGGGTGGGGGTTGTGTGGAGCAGTATTGCGTAAGGGATCATTAAGCAGTGTGTGTGTGTGTGTGTGTGAAGGCTGACCACACCTCTGTGGCTGTCTCTAACAAAGGGGAGTGGACCTTCCTGTCCAAAGATAAAGTCCTCAAACAGCAGACCCTCCCAGTTTTGCCCGGCTCACTATCTAAAACGTCCAACTTTGTTGGATCTGAGCTCAAGTCAAGACTGCCTTCACTTTATACAACACATTCTGATTGTTCCTTAGCTTCACACTAGGAGATTATGTGTTATAGTTCACAAAAAAAGAA